TTTCTGCAATTTTCTGCAATTTTTCCTAAGTCCGAAATCACTCCGAGACACCTCCGAAACACTCCCGAGTCCTCGGGGCACCAAACCAAATATGAACACTGACTCTAAAACATCACACAAACTTGCTCGAGCGATCAAATCGCCAAAATAACATCAAAATCAATGATTTGAGCCTTAAATCCAAGAATTCTTTCAAATTTCATAAACTTTCAAATTTTCCAATTTAAGGCCGAAACCCGTCAAACAACGTCCGTTTGTAACCAAACTTTACAGGAAGCACTTAACCAACATATATGACCTGTATTGGGCGTCGGAACCAAAATACGAGCCCGATACCATTACTTTCTGATCAAATTTCATTTTCATTTTCCTTAAACATTTTCAGAAAACAATTTCACGAAAAAATTCATTTCTCGGGCCTGGGACCTCGGAATTCGATTCCGAAAACACGTTCAACTCCCATATTTTTCTATGGACCTTTCAAGACCGAAATATCACGGGTCCGGGTCCATTTACCAAAAATGTTGACCAAAGTCAACTTTAACAACATTAAATATCAAAATTCTTCAAATTTTTCACATAATTCATATATTTTAACACAAAAATATTCCGGACACACTCCTAAGTCCCAAATAACCTAACGAAGCTATCCAAACCATAAAATTTATATTTCGAATCCGATATCAAAATTTTCACTTCCGGCCAAATTTTCTCAAAAACCTTCAATTTTTCCTCTTTAGCCGAACAACTCAGAAATGACCTACGGACCTACGAATTCACTTCCGATCGCGCTCCCAAATTTAGAATCACCATACGGAGCTATTCCCAGTCTCGGAATCCCAAACGGACATCAATAACACTGAAATGCATTTTAAACCAAACTGATGCAATTTCTTCTAGAATGTTATCTTCCACAATAGGCGCCAAAACGCCCCGGGTTATCCAAAATTCGATCCGGGCATACTCCCAAGTCTGAAATCATCATACGAACATGCTGGAACCTTCAGATCCCAATTCCGAGGTCGTTTACTCAAAATTCCAATCCTAGTTCATTTCTTCAATTTTAAGCTTTCAAAATGAGAATTTCCATTTAGATTTGACTCCAAACTTCCTGAATTTTAATTCTGACCATACACACAAGTCAATATACCTGAGATGAAGCCGCTCATGGCCTCAAACTGCTGAATGACGCGTCAGAGCTCAAAACGACCGGTCTGGTCGTTACAAAAAAATCATATCCTATTTATAAAAGACGAAACACGGGAAAATGTGTGGAGATTGGAGGACAATTTTTTGATAATTCATGGGTTGTTTCCTACAATCCATTCTTACTTAGTAAATTTAATTTCCATATAAATGTGGAGATTTGCTCTGATATTAAAGTTGTTAAGTACATTTACAAATATATTTGCAAGGGACATGATAAAATTGCATTTCACATACATCCTAACGATGCGAACATAGAAGTAGATGAAATAAAGGAATATCAATCTGCTAGATGGGTGACACCACCTGAGGCTGCGTGGCGCATATTCTCTTTTCCTATCAGTGAAATGATTCCAAATGTATACTATCTTCAACTCTATCTTGATGGACAACAAATTGTTTCCTTAAAAAATACAGATAAATTAATAGAATCGTAAATAATCCTGCGATTAAAAAAACAATGTTAACTAAATTTTTAACAATGAACAGCGAAAACGAAGATGCTATGAATTTGAATTTATTATATCGAGAATTTCCAGAACATTTTGTTTGGTCCACAACATACAAAATGTGGTCATGTCGCCAACAAGGATTTGCTATTGGTAGAGTTGTAATATGTCATCCAACCGAAGGAGAAAGATATATTCTTAGATTGCTCTTAATGAACGTAAGAGGACCAAAATCATATAAAAATTTACTAACTGTAAATGGAGTAACTTGTGACACATTTAGAGAAGCCGCCGAAAAAAGAGGATTGTTACTTTGCGATAATAATTTAATAGAATGCATGTCAGAAGCAGTAAGTTACCAAATGCCACAAAGTTTAAGGCACTTATTTGTTGTACTATTAGTTTATTGCAATCCCGTTAATCCAAGAGAGTTGTGGGAAAAATTTGAATGCCCGATGTCCGAAGATTTCAAAAAATACCCGAACATGCATACAAGAGAAATTCGTTACAAAGTGCTAAATCATATTAATGATATTCTTCCTTCAATGGGTCGTGATATCAACGAATTTGAACTAACTCAAGGCAAAATTCAATCATCTGCAATAGCCAAAGAAGCTAAAGATGTACATTTTGAAAGGAATATTATCGTTAATGAAGAAGATCTACTATTACCATATAAACTAAACATTGAACAAAAAAGAGCTTACAATATAATCCTTGATACAATATTCTCAAATAAACCCGGAGCATTCTTCATTGATGGTCCAGGCGGAACTGGAAAAAGCTTTTTATATCGTGCCTTATTAGCTACAGTGAGACATAGAGGATTTATAGCATTAGCGACTGCGAGTTCAGGTGTTGTTGCTTCCCTTCTTCCTGGAGGCCGAACTGCTCATTCCCGATTTAAAATACCTACTGATGTTGATGGAAATTTTAGTTGCAATATTAACAAAGTTCATTGGAATCGTTGATTCGAGATGCAAAACAAATAGTGTGGGACGAAATTTCAATGGTGAAAAAAGAACTGATTGAAGCACTAGATTTGCTCCTTAGAGATTTAATGGAAACAACTATGTTGTTTGGCGGAAAGGTTGTTGTATTCAGTGGTGATTTTAGACAAACTCTTTCCGTTGTCCGTGGTGGACAAAGGGAAGATTTTGTTCGTAAAAGCTTACTATGTTCTGAAATTTGGCATCAACCTGAAAAATTACATTTGTCTGAAAATATGCGTGCGAAAGCAGACCCAACTTTTTGTGAATATTTAATGAGAATTGGTAATGGAAAAGAAAGAAAAAATGATAAGAGCAAAATAGAAATTCCCCGCCCTCTGATCATACCTTTCACCACTGAAAAAGATTCCTTGAATCATCTATTTAAAGTTACTTATCCTGATTTATATTTAACTCATTCAAATACTTCCTTTATTACTTCTCGTGCAATTCTAACTACAAAAAATGACTTTGTTGATGAAATAAATGACATACTAATTTCTCAATTCTCGACTGATGAAAAAGTCTATTTAGCTACTGATGAAACAATTGATCCAAAAGATCAAAGTGAATATGAAGATTTTTTGCACACTTTAAGTCCTCCTGGTTTACCTCCCTATAAATTGTTTCTAAAGAAAAATTGTCCAATTATATTACTAAGAAATTTGAATTCCTGCAAAGGTTTTTTGCAATGGGACACGATTAATATGTAATGATTTCAAACCTCGTGTTATTAGTGCTACAATATTCAATGGGGATTTTAAAAATACACATGTGTTCATTCCGTGGATACCACTATTAACATCAGAAGACGAAAAACTACCCCTTCAATTTAAAAGAATACAATTTCCAGTACGATTATGTTTTGCCATGACTATAAATAAAGCTCAAGGCCAAACATTAGATTTTGTTGGCATTTATTTGCGAGAACCTGTATTTTCTCATGGTCAGTTATGCGTTGCTTTATCAAAAGCTAAAGGTTCTAACTATGTCAAGGTATTAATTAGACCAACTATAACTGAAAACGATGATGATCATTCTACATATAATATAGTTTATGATGAAACCATTGAAAAAACTCTTTCTTTTTGACTTAGACCATCATTCCTGACAAAGTTTGACGTACAACTTGTTCATTTTTTGTATTCTTCCATTTTGTATTATAGTCATTCTGGCAATGTTACATATATTCATTATGCTATTATGATGTGTTATACTTGCAGATTACATTTAAATGGCAGAAAGGTTCAACATCATTGTGATTACTCCAGAAACAGAAGAATAGACTTGTAAGGTTCAAGTAGTTGATAAAGGCAGACCTAAAGACAATAGAGAGAAAACGAAAAAGTATCAACTGATGGTTTTACAAGATGAAGAGGTGATCTTTAAAGGATTCATAAGTTTGCCAATAGTAATTAAATTAATATTATCCTAATTGTATCTTATTTTGTTACAGGAAAATCAAGTCGAATGCATTATGTTCAATGCGGAGATAGTGCATTTTGAAGATCTGTTTCACCATTTCCATACTTACTTGGTGTCAGTTGCACAAGTCAAAGAATCAAACTATATGTATGGAAATCCGCTTAACAAATTTACATGGACAATTGATAGGTGTACCATTGTTGAGCCAATAGAAATTGTTAATCCTTTAGAAGATCCACTACCGCCGCCAACACGCCTAAATCTTACACCATTTTGCAACTTTGAATATCAACCCTATGGATCTGAATTCGGTAATTGAATATTTAACTATCTATGTTGTTTGTTCACCTAAAATTCACATTTATTAGTATTATTATTGTTTATAATAATTTTTATTATCTATTAATTTATTGGTTGTTCTTTTTTAAATGCAAAATGTGCTTGCCATTGTGCTCAACGCCAGTCCCTCAACATATGCTCCAAATGGGAGGAGAATTCAAGACTTTATCATCATGGATGATCAGTAAATATACTTGAACTTGTTTTATTGCGTCCAAATAGCAATTGATGATTCAAGTGTGATATACTATCTCACTTTTCGTATGTTGTCTAGCAATAGCACACAATAAATGAAATTGAGATTCAAGTTGAGATTGTACCCTTTAAAAGGCTACTTTCCATGCTTCAATTCACCTTTGGTTTTGCTGTAATTATGATCTTTCAAAGCATACTTAGGTCCAGTAAGCATTACCGGAATTATTATGATTTAAGTTTTTACTACCAATATTTATAGATCACTATAATATTTGATCATATCTTCAAATATATTCTTAACAATGCAAAGTTTCTCTCTTATTGTTTTCTTGCTATAAGAATATAAGGAAAATTAGAGCTACTGTCATATTGTGCTTTTGATTTTGTAGATTTTAACTTGTCTAAATTTTTTTGCAACTAATTTATGTTTTTTCAAGATTGATTTTAAACTTTAAATTTATTCTTTATTTATAAGCATAATTTTCGGAATAACTGCATGGAATGACGATGTGTGATTGCTAAAACTACACACCAATCCAACAATGTAAAAACATATAAGTGCCCCTAAAGACTTTAAAAATCTTTAGTTGTACGTCAATAAAGTTAGAAGCAATGATCCAGAAAAAAATTTAGTTATGGCAAGACAACAAATTAGGGAAAAGCTATTAAAAGCTAACTTAAAAATATGTTTCGTTATTTACTATTATATGCGCCAAAGAATTAAATTGTTGTTAAAAATTATTCAGAGAAATACATAATACCTTGAAATGTAGAAATATAGCATAACCAAGTTTGTAGTTGCTTATCTTATTCTTTAACAATGACTTTATAATTTATCTGTAGTTGTTCTTCATCTATTTGGAAGGAACAAAATATGACCTCTATAACCTCGAGGAAAGGAAACAATAATCATCATGTTTAGTTATTAGATTTAAAATCAAATTATATTTAAAAAATATATTATTTCCATTCAGTACTTTGGATTAAAATTGACCCCATTTCTTTCTTCGCTCTCTCAGTTTATTGTCTCTGTTACAATCTCAGCCTCCGTAAATTCCTTCGATGGTTTATTGTTTTCAATATATAGAGGCTTAACCTTGAGTAGTTGTATATACAAGTATTTTCACTTTCTTGCTATAAAAATAGTGTTCTTTGGTGTCTCCACGTTCAATCGAACTGCTTTAAGTTTGGCAAAAAACAAATCTTTGAAGGGCTTTGAAGAAAAACTAATAAGTAGATTATAAAAATTTTATTCAAAGCATTCACCCGATCGTAGATTGCTAAATGCTAAAATTTTGTATATTAGAAATGTGCTTACAAACTATTGTATTTCAAATGTGCAGACATTACCAATGCAGAAAGATCTAATAGAAGAGAGCAACATATCAATGTTAAGAACATCTCTATTAAATATTCTTCCATTGTATAATACAATTATATCGCAATATCAGAACTTATTCATAACATCTTTATATTGGAACTAATCAGATCATTGCTACAGTAAGTTGTAAATTATATCCATTTATCTTTTGGCAAGCATCAATATCTTTAGAGTGTAATAAAGCAATTCTACCATCTATTTGAGATCTGAGACTTATCAACACTTTGAGAACATCTGATATTTCAAAGTATTATCTTTAGAAGCTTTTGTTAGGAATCAATAGCGAAGAGCTTAAGGAATACCTATTTTCTTCGAAAGTAATTACATTATTGAAATTCCTACACATTAAGATATCAATATGTGTTCATTTTTTTAAAATGTCTTACACTTAAATCTTCCAATTGATGCTCATTTGTGTTTCCTAAGCATTGACATTCCCGTATTGATTTAATATAGTGATTTAACAATTTCGTTCTATTTTAATAAACTACTCGAACTGCTTAAAGAAGAATACCCAATCATCCTTGCTAGAAAAGTTGGAAGACCAAAGTCGTCGTCAGGTAAAACACCTCAAATGCATGCAAGATGGAGTAACAAATTCAATACAGGTAAAGCATATACGCAATTATGTTTTAGTTTTCCATATACCAGATGACCAAATTAGAACTGAATGTTCAAATGCATGCAGGATTGACTAACAGATTCGGTACAACAATCGAAATCAATCCTCCGTACCCACAAGCAAATGCGCTGGGAACATGGTATTGCAATCAATACATTATTGGTCATATATGTGCTTGAACATATAGAAGAACTAATTTTGAAATGTTAACATACTTTAAGAGCCCAACAAAATGAAAAAATGCTTATTGCATACACAATGAAGAGCACAGGTCCAACAGGCTCTCTTTTATATGTTCCTTTCGAAGAAGAGATAGTACCAATTGCAGAAATCCGACAGCAAAATCCAGTAAGTACACTAAATATTCACATATGCATTGTTACAAATTTTTACCTTTATTTTCTAATAACAAAAAATTAATATGCGGCATCCTTATGTTTTCCAGGGCCAAATATTCTACATACAGGTTGAAGTCGCACTACAAAATGACAATCAACGATTTTGTATCCTAGCTTGTTCAGACTGCAAACAACACTTCACACGAGCTATCTCACGGAGAAAGTTCTATTGCACTAATTGTCGTCGAGCTACCCAGTTGGTTTCCAGGTATACATGCAACTTCCACATAATTGTTTATATTTAACATTATATATTCACCATCTTTTAATTAACCAATCATTTTATCTTACAGCTAGGTGCCAATTTGAACTAACGCTCATAGATCAGAGTGGTTCTACAACAACAACTATTTCCGACAAGCTTGCAGAAAAAATATTGCTTCTCACTTCGGAAGAGATTTATGATATCTGCAATGTCAAGGTACATTGTTAATTTTGAAAAACCACAAACAACTATTTTCTACAAGTTGAGCCCCCTCTGACACATAAATAACTAATTTTATCTTTACAGAAAGAATTGTTGTCTCTTGTGAACGCGCAAAAGCTACTGACTGGCAAGATCTTCAAGATTCAAATAAAAAACCTGTTTACAAGAAACAATGAGGTAGGAAAGTTAGTTATTTTGTCTTTCATGGACAAAAGTAATCCGGGTATCTCACAAATGCCAGCCACCATCAAGGATGTTGCGGAAGGAAGTAAACGAAAAATTGAACACGTTGCCCCAGAGAAGCAAGAGCACTCACACAGAACAACCAAAGGCAATGGTTCCTACAACAAATGTAAGGCGGAAATGAAAATTTCCCCTTCAAAAAACTGCTGAAAGGTATTTGAAATTTATGTTCCTTTTAAATTTAATATGAAATTCAACTTCGTACAAAAAACAAGCAACTTAAACGACAATGATTTGTTAGCACTTTTGCCAGTGAAACATCTTTTGCTACTATTTTGGGATGCAAATGAAGCCACATCTGGGTGTTGTTTTTGAATGCGGTTAAGCTCACTTTTGCGAGTGCTTTCTTGATGCTCCTCTACTAGAAATATGTCATGCTGACACGAGATTAGTATACTTGATTACAAATCTAGATTTTTTCAAAATCTTTCATACCAACCGATATAAAGTCATTGCAATTTTTTCATATTAATTTGCGACAATAAAGAAAAAAACTATTTATGCTCGAAAATGATTGTTTTGAAATTTAATCCTCTTTAGAGGGTTTTTCGTGCAATGACTTACAACACTTATTAGATTCATATTAAAGAAGCTTTGGTTCACATCAAATAGATGATTTGTTAAAGAAACTTTAATTACTAACTTGCTCACTATCTCTGATAAGA